AGTGATGTTTTTCAGTAAAATTTGAATGGTACTTAAAACATGAAGCATTGTTTAAAGCAGTTTCCTTGAATGTTCACATTCTAGGGTTTGTATTTAGTACCTGGAGGATGCAGGGTGCGGACATCAATGTTAGAATTTTTATTTACTCATCGGGTGCCTATTTACTTGCACTTTACCACTCTGTTGTACCACAGTTGGTAACATTGTCAACAGCCATATTGCCACTCCAACGTACTGCAGCCCTTACCAGAGAAGTCATTGTGTCTGTTCCAGATGCTCTTTCTTATTCATGAGAACAGGTATCATGATGATGTGAATAGTGGTGAATTGAAGCAAAGGTTCTGAATCCTGCTTAAGACTGCAGAAATCGAACAAGCAGTGTTTTATGCTCTAGTTGTACTGGCACATGGTTGGCAGGATATATCACTACATTGGCCAGTGTATCTAAGCCAGCAAAATTATTTGGGCAAATCCAGTTACACTAGCAAAAGATTGTTATTTCTCGATGTGTGTTTTGCCAGCTAAAGTTCCTATAAAGAGCTTTTGCCAGTAAAAGATGCGTGTCATTGCAGTATGATTCTCTGGGCAAATCTTTATGCATAGACGAGTCCTTTGTCATGCAGCCTTAAGTCCAGTTGGATAATCTTTGTTTATTTTGTCTTGGAAGAAGCACAGCAATTAGGCTTGGAAGTAGTCCATTTTCTTGTAAAATCTCTTACTTTTTTGCCACTTGTGGCACATGGCTTGTAATCTGCTGCACACAGTTGCTTCTTTTTAGCAGCACCTTTCTAGATTTATTTAAAGCTAGAATTTTAAGAGTGTACTTAAAGGAAATGTCAAGACTTATGTACCCCAAGAGCTTTTCATCTGTCACCTTAGAAGTTACTACACTCTGACGTGTCCCATCCTGTTACTTTTTTCCCCCTACTGTTACACAAAATGTAGGTGCAGATCCCTCAGGATAAGGCAGGACACTGATGAAGTGACAGCTTTGGCTTTCAGGAAGGCTGAGCATTACCACAGTGAGTGAGAGCCTTGGGACACCAGTGCTAATCAAATGGGAACCTGATTGGGAGTGAAGCTCAAGGGGTTGGATGATAAAATTTGGGCTGATTAACATCTTATGCAGATGCAAAGTCCTGGTTTGCTTACTAGGGAACTGGCTGATGTAGTCTGGCTGATGTAGTGCAGGTGCTGCTGTCTGGATTCAGAAATCTGCAGCTGATCTCTGTTGTATGAGACTGTGAAAGTAGGTGCAGGTGTGGAGGTGTGAACTGTCTTGGTTTATAGAGACTGCAAGATAAAACATGCTTTGGACTTTACGTATGTGGATGGGGGAGACAAAAGCTATCCTGATTTACTATAAATTCTTCTCATCTCCTACACCAACCTTTCCATTTTTGTTAAATGTTCTTGTTTAGGGCAAGGGATGAGGAGCTGTTGCGTTTTGCTGTGTTCTTTTTAGGTTTTCCTGTTTTCAGAGGTAACCTTCATCTCACTCTTCCTGGACTGTATCTAAGGGTGTCCTTATAATTTTTCTGTGTATTGTTAGTGGAAGAGTTATGTTGTCTCTGTAAGCTAATGTGAAACAGGAGAGTATCAGCTTGTATAAGGGTGTTTGATCAAGGAGTTTTTCAATGCCTCAAGAAGGGAATAAGAAAGAGGGATAAAGAGGGAGCAGTAAGACACAAATCTGTCAAACAAAAAATTATAAGTGAGACAGTTAAAAGAACCAAATCTGATCAGTCACAAATCAATAAGGGTATGTGGAGTGTGGGAGTATTTATTTCAGTGAGATTATTTGAGCAAAGACCTCATCAAGTGGTGTTATAATGGAAAGAGGGAAGCTATAAACAAAATATAGAGAGACAGAAACCTGCCAAGTGACTTTAAGGGACAAGGGTGTAGGTTTAGTGGCCTGACATACACTGCTTCTTTTACTAGGAGCAATCTGATGACTTTGTCCTTATATCGTTTCCTTTAAATATGAAGTAATCTATATTCCTGTTTATCATGCTCTTTTTGGTAGATGTGTATTTAAAGTAAGGTAGTGCTTTTACCTTGTTAGTTAAAAGCTAGATACAATGTTCTTGATAGCTGTTGATCTATTCTTGTTGCTTGTTGGATGTGAGAAGAATGCATAGCATAATGACTGTAAAAAGCATCAAGTAGTCCCAAAGAGTGTGTTGAATATTGGCAAAAAGCAGCTAGACTGATTTGGGGATTTGGAGTGCTAGTGTAATTGACAAAAGTATCATATTCCACAAGTAGGCTATTAAACTTAATGACCAGTAATAATGTAGACTGAAAAAACATACTGTCAGTGTCTAGTTACTCCCCATGCTTGTTGAAAATGATATGAAAACATATCTTAAATTATACAAGATGTCTGTCTTTAGGTCCTTGTACTTTGCCATGTGCTAGTGTTACCTTGCTGCAATCATCACATGAGAACTGGTTTCTTAATAAAAACTAAGATAAGACACCAAGTCTTCAAGTTTGGGTTTGTGTTGGGTGTTTTATGACATCTGTTTGCGAATTAGTTTGGTGTAGCTTTAGTTTACTTTTTCAGTACAAAAGACAAATTACATGTTAAATCTTGCTGTACTTGTAGTTCCAAAAATGATTTTATCTTTATTTTCTAATGGGAAGCAATTTTGACTAAAGATATTGTTGCTTACTGCAGAGGGCAATTAGCATTTATTATGAAGTTTGAAATACCTGCATGGATTAGTAATTTGGAGTGATGATGAAGGCTAACTACCTAGCAGTTTGCATCTTCACTGTCTTTGAAGTGGTGCAGTCCATGTACAAAAGGAAAATAATCATCAAAGAACTGGTTTTTTCCAAAGTAGATTGTTTTCTACAGGGCAGGGTATATTAGTGTTAATGCTTGGGAAAGGTGCCAGATGTAAATTAAGGCAGTAGCAGTGGGAGATCCCCAGCCAAAGACATGTATAGAATGTATCGGGATAGTAGTGGTCATAATATTATTTCAGGGTTTTGTTTTTTGCCAGTGTCACTTAATCCAGTTTTCCTTCCTTCGTCGTTTTCTTTTGCACTCTCCAGATCCCAGCATACCTAATTTACCAGAATTTTTATTACTTGTGTTTCTCTTTGAGTAGACTTAGTCATCATAGTGTAAAAAATTCTCCCATTCAGAAAGTGCCGATTTGGGCCATAAATCATCATTGCTCTGACTCTTGTAGCATAGTTCCTTATTATTTGTTCTTTGGCAACGTGCTCCAAAAATCTAACAAAATAGGTATTTCCACAGAAGCTTTGCCCTCAAGGTACTTGTTTGGTATCTCTTCCAGCTTGTGGGTGGGGTTTTTTGTGTTGAGCTTTTGAGGGCAGGCAGCTCTCTGGAAGAGTCACCCTTTACCTGGGCATCTACTTTCATGAACCTTCAGGTGCATACCTGTCTTTTGACCTCTCTTTCTGTAAAATAATTGAAGTGCAGTTGGTTAAGGAGTTCAGGAGGCTGAGCAACAACAGATGGTTAGGTTGGTTCCGTAAGGAAACTGATTACTTTAGGTAAGATATAGTGGGGGAAACTGCGATTTGTGTTAGAGTATTTGAAAGCAAGAGGCTGAAAAGCTCTAAAATTTGGTAAAATTGGCCACAAGTCAAAACAGAGGAAAAATGCCTTTTTCCTCTTAGATACCTGGACAAAATGTTTACTTCTTAAAAAGTGTTTGCACTGGAAAGAACACTGGAGTGCAAACTGTATGTCAATGGAAACCTACCAAGAAGCAACTTAGTAGGATTTAGAAAATGATAGGCCCCTGTAAAGACAAGAACTAGAAGAGATCAATAGTCCAGTCTGCAACTATATCTGAAATAAGACTTCTGGCAATCTATGGATTGCCAGACTCTGATGGGGGTCAGTTCAAGAACATGGAGCCATGCAGACAAGTTCATTTTTCTCTGCATCAGCTATCTGCAGTTAAATGCAGAGGTATTTGAAATGGTGCTGTCATGTACAGAAGTGGAAGTGGTGCTGTGAGTGGACGTGCTGGAGAGCACACTACAATTTGGCTTGCACCAGGAGTTCTGTCAGAAGTCTGTCGTGTTTGGACTTGAGAATGGTTGCAGCATGGTAGTTCATGTCGTTTTAGTTTTTGTGTGTTCAGTTGGTGAGTTCTGAAGTGTGACATGTGTTTTTCTATATTTTTGGTTGTTAACAGCGTGATGTGTTAGTTTTAACAGAACAGTGGGGTGAAGGGGAGGGGTGTTTATTGCATTTGCTGTTGGCTCATAGGCGTCAGCAGGAGCTCTGGGGAAGAATGACAACCCCATCTAATAATTCAGTAGCATGGACACACAGTGAAAAGTAAAGGTAGTTGTGTTTGGAACCAGCCAGGAGAACATCACGTGGTGATGAACAGCCTTCATGTTGCTAGCACTGAAAACTTCAAGCACTGTGTATCCCTGTGAACTTTTAATGAAATACACAGATTTAACCAGAGATGGTTGATTAGATTTTTTTGGGTTACGTGTATGATCATTATTACACATTTTGTAGTACTAGGGGGATGAAGCATCTCTGTGCTGAGCTAGCAGAACTAAAATAGGTTACAGTATGGAGCAAATGTCTGACTAGCTATGTAAGTACAGACCTGACAGGAAAGGGATGCAGTGCAGAGCACACACTCTCTGTGGCATCTGCTTACAGGGAAGGCTGTGCTTGTACATCTTTTCATGCTTCTGTAGCCTGTTTTGGTTTTGCATGGATGTTAGCATTTTTATATGTATTTCTGCTAAAGTATAATTTAGTAGTAAATCTTTCAGGGTTTAGGGGAGCCATCAAAAATCTGTGTTTATAAGGACAGTAAATAGGCAACTACTTGCAGGTGCTTAATTTCATAGTGTTCTGGTGCAGTCTTCAGCAAGTCCCTCCTAATGCTAGCTACAAAGCAATACTCAAATGTAGATTGTAATTCACTCATCTGGAGGTGGTTTTTTTTGTTCTGGTTTTCTTTGCCTTGGCGCAGAGCGAAGACAGTCCTAGTCCCAAGCGACAGCGCCTTTCCCATTCGGTCTTTGACTATACAGCAGGATCACCAGCCCCATCTCCACCAATGCGACCATGGGAGATGACTTCAAATAGGCAACCTCCTTTGGCTCGGTCCAACCAAAACCACTTCTCAGGGGAACAATGCAGCACACCTGCACGAAACAGGAGAAGGTAAGCAACCTGTGTAGATTGGGAAACACGTTCTTGTTCTTTTTGATTTTAGCTCAAGGAAGGTGTTCTCCAGGCACTGACTAGATTACACATGGTAAACATGTAAACATTTCCTTTGAGCTGTACGCTATTGTAGTTGTGACTGCAAAGTTACTGGAAGAAATTCAGGTTTGTGCCTCATTTTGTAATGTGTTGAATAGTCAGCTCAAGGAAAGGAGTGCTCAAAATATGTTTAGTTATGAGCCTGATTCTCTATCACTCTCCATTGAAGCGATGAACATGTAGAAAAATGTGAGGAAACAACCTTTCTCCTCGGAGTGCTTTTAAAGGTGTTAACAGTTACTGATGTAGTACCATAATTTTCATTGGAGTGGAATTTTTGTACTTAAAACCAACCTAGTTAAAGATGAGGGGTAATAGCTGGGGAGATGAGGTTAGCATAATGTCAAATGTTTGTGGAGGTGGGTAATTAACATGTAATAGGAGTTGGATTTTCTTGTTGGTTTTAGCTTTGTGGCTCATTAATTTTTCAAAGCAGAGATTTTGGAAGAAGCTGTAATGGTTATGGAAGAGTAGATTGGGATGGCCAGGTTGGAGTGGTGCCTGGGTGGATCATCATCTGGGAAAGCATAAAAACACAGATTTCTTTACTATCCTAATTAAACAAATTACCCAAATCAGAAGCTTTCACTGCCTTACATTCTGCCTGGAAAATAGTGAGTCACCTTATGCAAGTTAAAACACACTGACCCTCTGTTTGCTTCTAAGAAATAGTCTTGTTTTATACAAAAAAAAATCATGTGCTTTTTCACTAACATAAAATAATAGGTTTATTATGTATTTAACTAGTTTTCTTCCAATTCCACGAATCGAATTTGTAAACCATGATCAACCAGGGATAGTTTTTAAGCAAGAAATTTTAAACTATGACAGTTTTATATCTTTGCTTCAAGTCCATGAATTTGAAGCTTTCCGTCAGTTGCATGCAAAATACACAGCTCTGGATGCAGCTTGTCAGACTTAATAAAGAGGTTGAGTTTGAACTTTGAGGGTTGTTGTGAAGACAGTATTAGACCCTTGTATACTATGTGGTGCAGGGATGCTTTCCAGGGCCATTAGGTCCACAGTTTTTTCCTGAGAATGTTTTGAACCGAGATGGCTGGAATATGCTGCATTTGGCCATTTTTTTATTGGTGTCCAGCCAGCTTACACAGCTTTCTTTGCAGTGTTCATTAAAATCTCCTGCAGAGTTAACAAGGGTGTTTAATAAGCTGAATGCCAGATAGCAGAACTTAGACAGTTCAGATATACTGAGGGATGAAGGAGAAGAATGGAATGAGTAAAAGGTGAATGTGCATGGGACTAGTGTCTGACATTCAGATGCAGTCAGGTGTTATCAAGGTAGTGACTTGTGGCTTTTGCAAGTAAGCCATGCCGCAAACAGGGAGACACCTCATTGCAAAGCCATCTTCAATCTGACAGGAGCTATTAGGCTCGCTGCAGCATTGTGGGCATTAGTCTTTCTGGGGTTAGCTTGCCTGCTCTTGGGTAGTAACACCAGCTTTTGCTCTGATCAGAAACGTTTGAACGTGTTAGTACTTTGTTTCCCTGCACTTGCGTCAGGGCATTTTTAGCTTGGGTGCGCTGTTGCATTTCAGTTAGCTCTAGGTCAGTTCCAGAATAGCATTGCACTCAATTTCATTTCCCAGAGCAGTTTGTTAAGCAGAACAACACATACATGTTTCCTGTCTGACAGCCTTTTTGAGACTTTGAATGTTCTGGACTCATACCAGAACCAATAATAACTCTCATAGATTGATAAAGCTTGATTCCTTAACATCATTGTAAGTGCATCTGTTATTAATGATTTAAGTGAGGTTTTGAATTGAATTTCCGGTTTTCCTTGCTTTGTGTTCTCTCTGTCCATCACGGAGGGGGCTCAGTTAATGAAATTTTCATATTCAGATAAGATGAAAGGTGCACTCCAGTTGTGAGTGATCATTCAGCTCAAGGAAACAGGCTGGGATGCGTGCAGGCAAAACCTCTGAAGGGTGTGTAGTGTGGACATCACTCTGACCCAGCATCATCAGCATTAACACTTTTGTCTTATCAGTTTACTCCTCTTGGTCAGGACAGTCTTACGTTGGTTATTTTATTACCTGGATTTTTTTTTATTTCCGGGGTTACTATTTAGGCCTTACCTCTTGGTATCAGTGATTTTTTTGTAGTGTGCCTAGCACAACAGGTGGCCTAATTTTTTGGATTTTTTCTGATTCATTGTAAGCAAATAAATACTGCATTTATAAAGATAGTGTTCTGGTGTGAATTTTCAGAAGGTTTTTGTCTAGCTACTTATATATAGTACAGATAAACTCTGGATATAAAAGTGTGATGAAACACTTTATGAAACAGAAGGACATTCCAATTTATCTTTATCAAGCCATTGTGAAATGGGGGGATCTGTACCATTGCTGTGTCTTACCTTTCCTCTGTGTTTCCTTTCCTCCTTGTCTTGAATTAATTCTGAACTAACAGGATTCAAGAGTGTGCTACTGCAAAGAAATAACCCTTGTTAGGAATACTAAGATCTGCAAATACCAACTGCAGTTACGGGTATCTTTTGATGATTGTTCTTACCTGAGGGCAGGAATTCCTGCAATTTTTTCACCAGTTCCATCGTGTCTCTTTGTTTTAGCCTGGTATTTACCATGCTTATACTGTGCATGTAGAAATGGAGGGGGTTTTGTGGGTATTTTTTTAAAACTTTAAGGTCATTATTGATGTTTCGTAGTAGTTTAGACCCATATCTTGACAACTCTTCTGAAGTAATTTCCAGTAATTCAGGAAGTGAATAAAGCTGTGTATCCAGGTATCCTGCATTTTGCTGGATGAAAGTATAGTTTCTTTATAATTACGCATAGGAAAAAAATCCAGTGTTGCTTTTTACCAGAGAATATTTCATTCATTTGAAAAGACGCTCCAAAAGTTTTGCCAGCCTTGTTTGGCTGTGCTTCCTCATAATCCTGGGTTCATAGAAAAGTAAAGCCACACCTTTTCACAAAGGCAGAGGTAGTGCTAGACTTTTGAGAAGCTGCCTGTCTAAGAGGCTGCTTTGTTTAAGCACTGGTGGCAAATAGAACATTGCTCTTCCAAAGTTCTGGAGCTGTCTTTTGTGACTTTCCTCCATTCCTGCAGCTTTTCCAAAGAGAAGTCCTCTCATAGACATTTTTATGTTGAAGTATTCAGAACATTTCTGTTTCATAGCAGGAAATAGCAAATTTAAACCAACCTTAGTACTCCACACAACAGAACATCTTTTGCATTAGTAGTCCTGTGGTTCTAAATTACATTTGGCAGTTTTATCTAACAAGAGTGGAGCAGTTGTGTGATATTAGGAATATAGCGATGGAAAGTGCATCTAAAACTTTGGGAAAGAAAACTGGAATTAAGACTAATATTAGTACAACTGTAAATTCTCAGTGCTTAGGAGAAACCACAGCTCTATGTTCTGATGTGGTAGTTTGTATCCATAAAGGCAGCTGTGCATTTTTTTTTCTTTGGGGTTTTTTCTTCAAGAATGCTGTTTCAATCTAGTGTTATGCTTTCTGTCTGATGTCATGAATTAGCATTGATATCAGTTCTAAGAAAAGCAATAATGGCATAAAATCACTGAAAAGATAGTGTCCTGGGACATTGTGTCATATCCTCACAGTAGTGTCTGGATATGCTGCTTCATGCAGCACAGAAGTTGGACTCAACCTGAGAAATATCTGGGATTTTCCAACAGGTTTGAGGTTGATTTGATATTTTTTTATTCTGTAATAACAACGGAAATAGTGAAAGTGAGGTATCTTAGGTTTTCGTCCATGCACTGTTGGAGAGGACATGTTGTAATGGCCACAAATCATTTTTGTCTCTTCTGTGCAGTTTGGTTCCTTCAGCCTGTTTCATAAATGTGAAATCATTTCACCCTATGTAGCTTTAATTTTCTGTTGTTTCTGGGACCTGTAACTTGTGTTGTGTAGGTTGGAAGGCATGTATTGAAGTATTGCTGGGCTGTTTCATTCTTTTCAGTTCTTTTCCCTTCCAAATAAATACTAAGTGACTTGTTGAGTACTTCTAACAGTGAGATTATTACTTGTGTACGCATCATGTTCTGAGTGATGAACCTGGGCCACTGGTCTCTGATGTACAGAAGTCTCTGCTCAAAGTAGTAGCAGCTCTGCTCAGAACATACACACAGTTATATAAGAACACACAATCAAATCCTACACCTGTGTATCAGTTGCTCAGAAGTGGATGTTCTGGTCTCAATCAATCTGCACAACTTTTCCACTTGGGGGGTAAAGAAGCACCACAATCACAGTTTTCTGTGATCTTCTGTAGAGAATTCTATAAGGCATTCAGTTGTGCAGTGAACATATGAGAGCTGAAAAAATCATTTGTTTCTTCAGAGGAGTCTTCTGCTTTGTCTTCCATCACTAGACAGTCAGCCATTTTGTGGCATGGTTGAGGCAAAGACCCTGAGGATATCTCTGATCAATCAGTGAAGGATTTTTACTTACATAGAATAAATTAATGGAAATCTCAATAAGTTTACTATCTTTACTTTTTGGCACTTTTATGGCAATCCAAGTGCCATTTTTAACAGGTTAATATTTACATAAGAATTCTTCTCTTGGTTTCCTTAACAGCATTAGGTTATGCTCTATTAAGCATTTTCATACTGAAAAAAGTGTCATCTGTAAGGCTTTTAGCAGTTCTGTCAGTAAGAAGTTTTATTCCAGTCTAATAAACCCGTTCTAGTAACATTTTCCTGTGTAAAAAAAAAAAATATCTTTATTTGATTCTCTCGTGGTTTTAGTTATTAAGGAGGATTTGTCAGTTATATAATCTCTAATTTTTTTAATGCATTTCCAGCCCTCCTGTTCGACGTCAGAGAACACGGAGAGATTGTTTGTCTAGACATAATTCTGTTAGCCAGGATGAAAACTATCACCATCTCTCCTATGGACAGCAGCAAGCAATAGAAGAGCCGCGAGCCTTTCGCCCTCCGAATGTATCTCCTCGTATGTTGCGCCCAGCTGCTCACCCACCACAGCAGAATGCAGTGATGGTTGACATTCATGATCAGGTAAAATTTCTAAACAAAAGGCTGTTGAAGATGTAGGGTTTGGTTTTGGGGTGTTTTTTTCTCCAAAATCTTCAAGTTGCCTCTCCTCCCCAAATTAATGGGCAATGCAAGTTACAAAGCACTAAATTCTATTTGCATTCTTACAGAGCTGGGTTTTTTTCTGTTAAGTATTATGTATATGAAGCACTGCAGTAGGCAGTGAAGAAATGAAAAATAAAAGGAAAGTTCACACTTCTAATACAAAGATTGGCATTTACCAGTTTGTCAGCACAGGTATTTATGTAGGTTTTGTCCTGTAGGTGTGTGTCAAACCTTTGAAATGCAGTTATTTTGCTCTTGTAGTTAATTTTATGTGCTAAAGGTGTGATATGATAATTAATAATGTATTCTGTTTCACATTAAATACCTCTCCTCAGGTTAGGAGTCATTAAATAATTAAAATATCACTTAGAAGTGGAATTCACAATGCCTATAATGATTGCCTGTGTGACAGCAGAACTCATGATAGTATTGCTGCATAACCCAATTAGCCATCCAAGCCTACTCAAGTGCTCCTTAAATGACATGAAAAGAAAGTGGTTGGTCCATAAAGTAAACAGTTCTTCTCTGTGACAACAACTTGCATAGAATTCTGTAACTGAGGACCTGTTGGGCCCCCCATTTAAATAACGACTTTCAGGTGTTGGAGCATGTCCGAAGAAGAGCAGTGGAGCTGGTAAAGGGGTTGTAGCACAAGTCCTGTGAGGAGCAGCTGAAGGAGCTATGGGCATTTGGCTTGGAGAAAAGGAGGCTCTAGTGGGACATTACCAATCTTTACAAGGACCTGAAAGGAGAGTTGTAGCAAGGTGATGATTGGTCTCCCCGGTAACAAGAGACACGAGTAAATTGCACCAAGTTGCTTCAGGGGTGGTTTAGGTTCGGTATTAGGAAAAAGTTCATCACTGAAAGGGTTCTCAAACATTGGAACAGGCTGCATGGGGAAGTGGTGGAGTCACTGTTGCTGGAGGTATTTAAAAGACACATAGATGTGGCATTTATGGACGTGGTTTAGGGGTGGACTTGATGATCTTAAGGGTCTCTTCTAGCCTAAATGATTCTGTGATTCTATTGAGGTAACCTTTGTTGTTGTTTAGGTTAACAGGCTGGAGCACAAATACACTAGTTGCTACATGGTTAAGAAGTGGGAAAATAGATCTGGTTATTCAGATATCCATGTTGAAGGTGCTGGAAGTAGATGGCTGAGATAACAATGGTCCTGGTGAAGGATCCTCCTGGATGCTGCCTAAACCAAAACAACCAATCAGGCAAACTACAACTAGCTCCAAAAAGGAGAAAAGATTGTTACAGGGGATTTACAGGGAGAGCCTAATATGTAGACCAGACCCAACCCAAAGCATTATGGCCTAGGATTTAGCAGAGAATTTAGAGATCTTTAAACTAGGTTGAAGTGGGAGGGGGATTAAGAGCAGGCCCACTGAAGATGAGCCTGAGAGTGGCATGCCTGTGATGGGGGCTGAAGTGCACACATGAATGCATGCAGTAGGGGCAGCCAGCAGGCAGAGCTGGAAGCTATAGGTCACTAGTGATGGGATGATTCTCATGACTGGAATGCTGTAATAGATGGCTGTAAGCTCTGTACCAGAGACTGGCATAGCAAGAGGGGTGGTGGAGTAACAACATATGTTAGAGTGCCTTGACTGTATTCAAATTCACACTAGTGAAAAAAACAAAGTCAAGAGCTTATTGGGTTAAGATCAGGGAAGCCCAACAGGGCAGACATCACAGTGGAGTCCACTATGGACCACCCAACTAGGGCAAAGAGTCAGATGACAATTTCTGCGAACAGCTTGCAGAAATCTCACAGTCCCCCACCCTCGTACTTACGGGTGACTTCAAGTTGCCAGATGTCTGCTGGAAATAAAACACAGCAGAGAAAAATCAGTCTAGGAAGTTCCTGGAGTGCATGGAAGACAACTTCCCCACTCAACAGGTTAATGAGCTGACCAGAGGAGGTGACCTGCTAGACTTGGTGTTTGAAAGCAAAAAGGGACTTCTGGGGGATATGGCAGTTGGTGGATGTCTTGTACATAGCGAATGCAAGATGGTACAGTTTGCAATAGTGGGTGATGTAATGAGGATCAGTAGCAGAACTTCCACCTTGGACTTCTGGCAGGCAGAAAACCAGCCTGATTAAACAGAGAACTTAGGCTGGAGCTTGCAGGGGGGATAAAAAAGAGAATGTATGATCTCTGGAAGGAGGGTCAGGCAAGTTGGGAAGTGTATAAGGATGCCAAGAGGTCATGTAGGAAGAAGATTAGGAGAGTACCAAGCCCAGCTAGAACTTGATCTGGCCACTAAATTCAAGGACAATAAAAAGGTTTCTGTAAATACATTGGGAGTAAAAGAAGGATCGAGGAGGGTGGCCAGGAGTTGATGAATGCAGAAGGTGGTGTCTTTAATGTCAAGACCACTTGTCCTCAGGATACCCATCTCCAAGAGCTGGAAGTTGATGTGGAGATGAGTGAGGCCTCTCTAATCCAGGAGATGGTTCACGACTTGCTGTGCCAGTTGGACACTCAGAAGTCCATGGGCCCTGGTGAGGTCCACTCCAGGGTAATGAGGGAACTGTCAAAAGAACTCATTAAACCACTTAGTCATTTACCAGCAGGGAAGTGGTCATCCCCCTGCACTCAGCATTGGTGAAGCTGTACCTCGAGTACTGTGTTCAGTTTTGGGCTCCTCGATTTGAAAAGGACATTGAGGCACTGGAGTGAGTCCAGTGAAGGGCAACAAGGCTCATAAAAGGTCTAGAACACATGTTGTGTGAGGAATGGCTAAAGGAGATTGTTTAGCCTTGAGAAGCGGAGGCTCAAGGCTGACCTCATTGTTGTCTACAGCTACTTGAAAGGGAGTTGTAGAGAGGTGTGGGATGGTCTCTGCTGCCATGCCTGCAGTGAGAGGACTGGAGGGAATGGTCATAAGCTGAGACAGGGGAGGTTCAGATCAGATGTTGGGAAAATTGTTTTCACTGTTATGGTGGAATAGATAGGGTGGAATTTGGAATAGATTGTCCAAGGAGGTGGTGGAGTCACCATGCCTGGAAGTGTTTAAGAGGCGTCTGGATCTGATGCTGGAAGATATGCTTTAGAGGTTACAGCAGAGTGACAGGCTGATGGTTGGACTTGATCTCAGAGGTCTCCTCCAACCTTGATGATTCTGTGATTCTATTATCTCAAACTGCATATGCAGAGAATGCAACTGCAACATCCCTGATTAAAGACTGGGGTTTGTTCAGTGCAGCTGCAGTTTGCTGGTGTGTCATATACCACTGTGTGCAGAGTAGTTCTTAGCAGGGAAGAATTGTTATTTGGGACCATGTGCAAGGAAAGAAGCCAATGCTAGTCTAGCCGTCTTATAAACTTACGTTTTGAACAATTCTGCTGCTGCAGCATCTCAGATTCAGATCATGCTCTTGCTTTATACTGCAAGCATCATGAAAAGCCTGGCTAAACAGTTGTTCCATCTCACTGCCTCTAGACTTCTAAGCACCATCTATGATCAGATGTCAGTATTTGCACACTAGCTGAGGTTTTCTGTGGTGGTACTTTCCATTTCAGGGGCATAACCATTTGGAGAACTCCTTATTATTGTTAGGAGCAATAAATGTTTCAGGATCACACCCAGCATTGCACTGCATGCCCAGCTTTTGTAACTAAGCCAGAACTGAGTCTAAGTCAGTGGCTCTCCTGAGTCTCGTATCTGTAATTAGTGATTTACAGGTTGAGATTTTAAGCTCTCTTTAGCGATCCATGCTCTGTTTTGGTCACTGTATTTAGCTGTACACTACCAGTTCGGTGGTTTAAGTCTCTTTACTCATTCTCACCTTCCTAATGCGCTGTTCTTGTTCCATTTTTAACAAGCAGGTTCCATTTTAGCAGATCATGCAGGAAGAGGGAGCTTTGAAATAATGGCTTTTAATCGTGCTTCCTGACATTTGAGCCTTTCCAATTTTTTGGGAGCATTGTTTTTAATGTTGAAAAAACCCCACAAACCAACAATAAAACAAAAATTACCCAGAAAACAATCTGTGGTTTGTAGATGTAGAATACCTATGGATCTTAGTTTGGTGGTTAAATTCTAGGGAACATCACTAGCTAGAAAATTGGATTACGTATGTCTGTTTTCTGATGTAAATCTGTATATTTAGGGTTTGCTGCATCATTGTCATGTTAACTTCTCTCTTTCAGCTTTCCAGTTAGCTGTTCTGTTACATTTAGGTTAGGAGATAAATCTTAAATGTTGGCCTGAGAGTGAATCAAGAGATTGGTCTCTTTTGAAGAAAGGAAGTACACCAAATTGTGTTGATGTTTAAAGATACAAGTCTCTGAATTAATATTGAATCAGACTCTTGTTCAGAGTTGAAAAAAATTCTTCAGCTGCTTGGTAGATTAACTTTCATGTGGGAGTTACTGCCTTCTTATTTCATAAGAATTAACCTGGGGAAAGGGTGGGGAGGGCAGGGTGCACAGGATGAATCTGAAGTGCTTCTGAGTGACTCTAAGGTGCCTTTGAAGTCTTAACATTTTAAGCTGGAAGATCCCTCTTAGTCCTGCCCAGAAACTTCTGATCAATAAATAATATTCAATTAATAAGGCTATTTTCATGAACAGAATTTAAAACCATGCGCCTCCCTTTACACTTTCATTGTGTATATGTTTTTTCTGATACGTAGGTGAAAGCTGCTTATGTTACTCATTGTGCTGTACACTGCTTGCGGTAAGTTATTAAATTCTTTTTTTTCTTTCCCTTTTGCTGCAGATCCATCAGGGCCCAGTTCCAGTGTCATACACAGTGACAACGGTGGCTCCACATGGGATACCACTTTGCACAGGCCAGCACATTCCAGCCTGCAGCGTGCAGCAGGTCCCAGGGTGCCAAGTGGTTTTCAGTGGACAGCACCTTCCAGTTTGCAGTGTGCCTCCCCCAGTAAGTGGGCCTCTAATCACACCAGCTTCAGTCTTAGTTGTAGGAATGGCACCTTGGAGCTTCAGTGTCTCTTCGGCTTTAATTGGGTTGGAAATAACCTTTTTTCCTTTCTTGTGCTAAATTGCAGTGGCATAGAGTATGACTATTTGTAGCAGAGTCCTGATGATTTTTAATTCAAACCTAATGCTGGTGTATGAACAGCTTCTTAGCAGCAACTATTTTAGCTACTTTCAGGTAGTAAGAGGAAGATTTTAGAAGCTTTTGTTAGGCAGCTTGCCTAGGAAACAAACTTACTTAGTGGAGACCTTGTTCAGGGATTGGTTACATGCAAAAAGATCTGATACTCCAGTGTCAGTTTTTTTCTGAGAAGTAGTAAGATTCTGAAAGATCACTAAAAGCTGAGAAAGGCTTCTTTTGTCTGAAAATGCTCTCATTAAATTAAAGCAAAATACTTTTCAGTAAGGATGTCTCTCTGTGCCTTGCTGGGAGTAAAATCAAGTACCCTGACTAGCCAGTTTGCCAGCTCTGAATTTGAAAGAATTTGAGCTGTTTTTTCAAACTTATATGTATCAGCTCAGAGATACTGCTTGCTATGTCATAGCATTCTGAGCCTGTTTCCCTTCCTTTTTTTCTAGTATAAATCTGTAATTTTATACAAAAATATTATATACAGTGTCCAGTAGACATTTATAATGTTGGTCTAGTAACTTAGCTTTTCATATTGCATATTCTGAAGCAAAAGCCTTGATGGTCATTGAAGAGTGAGAGTAATTTGCATTCATCTTGTCCAGATGCTGTTTATCCTTGTGAGGGGCAACAAGGTCTGCAGTGCTGGCTAGTCTGGAATATTTGTGGGAAATAGTTTGCTTTACCCTTCAAATTGAAGAAAATGTGTTACCTAAATTAGTGTGTATCCCTAAGGCAGCATGAAAGGCAACCTTCTGTTTATATTTAGTGGAAAAAGCCATCTCAGACTGGATACCCAAAGACTGGAGCAATACTTCCATAGTAAATTCAGCAAGGCAAGAAAGCTACATGTCCTAAGAAACAATAGAGTAAAAGCTGAGACTGTTTGGGCTTAGGGAAATTCAGACAGCAGATACTAATAATTTGTCCCTCTGGTTTGAATAGGTGTATAATCTGTGCAATTCATAAAATATTTTGTAATTCAGCAGCGTAGCTGTTCTCTAAATATATACAGGAGTAAAGCTCTGACTAGATTGTTTGGACTGAATGTACAACAGTTAATCAAGTGTGTTGAGAGAATGAACCCTGTACAAGTGAACGTAGAAAATTAAGGTTGAATTTCTGTAACATAACTAGGCAGGCTTTATGATTTCTTCTATTGGATCACAAAACTGAGGAGTAACTTAAGGTTAGGAGGAGGTTCTGGAGGTCATCTGGTGGTCATCTGCTAAAAGTGGTGCTAGTTTCCAACTTTGGATATTTTACAACACCTGTAAACCTCTGCTCCAATGTTTGACTGTCCTAGTGAAGAATTTCTTCTATATATCTAATTGTCTTTATTGCATCTTAGTCCCATTGGTTCTTGTCCTTTCACTTTGCCCTTTGAGGAGGTCTTGAGTAGTTGCTGTTCACTGTCATGAAGTAGTTGCAGACAGTTGTAAGGTCTTTGCTTAGTTTTCTTTCTTTAAAGCAAAATAAATCTAGTTCTGCTGCCTCTTCTTTTATGCAGTGTGCTCCAAGCTCCTGGTCACCATATTGTTGTGGTCCTTGTTTGGACTGAACATGGGACTTGAGATTAGCGTCACATGTTCTGAGTGGAGGGGCAGAATCACTTCACCAGGTTCACTAATTCCATTTTTAGCACTGCAACCCAGCATACCATAGGCCTTTTTGACTGCAGGAGTACACTGTGGGTATGGTGTATTCCTATTTGTTATGTCCGGCAGAACCCAGCTTTTTTTTTTCCTGCAAATCTGACTGCAGCCAGTCAGTCTCAAAGTGTGATGCTCCATGGAATTAGTCTCTCCCAGTGCCAGACTTCACATTTGCCTGTGCTGAACTTCATATAGTTCCTGTCAGCCAATTTCTCTGGCCTATAAACATACATTCGAAAGGTGGTCCATGCCCTCTAGCATGTCAGCTCACTCGTCAGCTTCATCTGTGAACTTCCTAGTATCATTTTTTTATTTTCAAAATATTTGTCTCATTTACTGCAACTATAAAACAAATGAATGTCACTTATTAAACACTTTAATCAATTTTTTAAAAGTTCTTCAAAGGACAGAATGCCATCCAGAGGGACCTGGGCAAACGGGAGAAGTGGGCTCATGAGTATTTCATGTGGTTTAACAGAGCCAAGTGCAAGTTGCTGCACTTGGGTCAGGACAAGCCCCAGTATCAATCCAGACTGGGGGATGAACTGATCGAAAGCAGCACTGCTGAGGACTTAGGAGTGCTGGTGGATGAGAGGCTGGACATGAGCCAGCATTGTGCACTTGTAGCACAGAAAACCAGCCATGTCCTGGGCTATATCAAAAGCAGCATGGCTAGCAGGTTAAGGGAGGGGATTCTGCCCTTCTGCTCTCTGGTGGGATCTCAGGTGGAACACCACTTCCAGCCCTGGAGTCCCCAGCACAGGATGTCAACCTGTGGAGCAGGTCCAGAGGAGGCCACCAAGATGATTTGATGAAGAACCTCTCCTACAAGGAGCGGCTGAGAGACTTGGGATTGTTCAGCCTGGAGAAGACTTCAGGGTGACCTGATTGCCTCGTTTGGTTCCTGAAGGGAGTCTACAAGAAAGTTTTTACAAGGGCATGTGGTGACAGTACAAGAGGGAATGGATTTAAACTGAAAGAGTAGGTTTAGATTAGATACTAGGGGGGAAAAAATCTTTACTATGAGGGGGTGAGGCACTGGAACAGATTGCCCAGAGAAGTTGTGGGTGTCCCATCCCTTGAAGTGTTCAAGGCCAGGCTGGATGGGGCCCTAAGCAACCTGATTTACTGGGTAGAATCACTGTCATGGCATCCCCCTGCCATTAGGGTGTTGAAAGTAGATGATTTTAACATCTCCTTCAACCCAAGCCATTCTATGATTCTGATTCTATGATATGTTCAAACAGCAAATATTTTTGAAAAGCCTGGATGAATAAATGGGTAATTTTTATTTCTTTCTACTTGAAAGTTGGTGTAGCCTCATTTGCTCTAACTTTTAAGAAGTGACATGGGCATAGCACAGGTAATTCGAAATATGTAGACTCTGTGGTAATCTTTACCATATAGGATCTTGGGATTAAACCTATTTTGGTGTTTCCCAAAGAAACTTGTGTTTTAAACAACACTATGTGATATTCTATGTGTAAATTTATCTTCATCTATTTCAGAGGACAGTTTTCTATGTAGTAAAATACAATAGAAATGTATTATAACAGTGAAAACAGTTGTCTGTGCTACTTCTTTTTTAGAAAAATGGAGTAACTGAATAGTCAGCATTCAAAGAAAAATAGTAGATCAAATTAATCTGCTACTGTTTCAGTGCATGTGAAGATTTACACTTGGTCATTACCACAGTAAATTGAAGTGATAGCTCAACCTCCATAATTAATCTGATTTTAAACTAGTTCCTTTTACCATTTTATGCCATTTTAGTCAGTATGCACAATATATGCTTTGTGACATGACAAATAAGGGAGAAAAAAGTGAGAGATCAGAGCGATCATCTTTCTTTATAAGATTTGATAATTAATACCTTAATTGCTCTTTTAATTGTCAAAAATGTAACAAATACCTGGCATTGTGATGATGGATCAAAGAACAAGAAAAAAAGAGAATGCAGGTTTCTTGCCCCTCTATATCTAAAGGTGGAGGTAAAACTGAACATTTTGCAAAACACATTCCTGTTCCCCTGCAGTGCCTTCATCATTTTAGTGTTCAAACTTTAGTGCCCAAAGTTGCTTTTCTGTCAGGAGCTTAAAGGAGGAGAGAAAAAGGGCTACTTCCTACAGTAGCTGTCACTTAGGGAGCTGCCTGCAGAGCACAGGGCTCCCCTCGAAGTGGAGAACTGAGCAGACTATGAATTATTCATAGTATGAGGCAATAGAGGGTTTAAGGCACATTGACAGCTGAGAGTCCCTCAGCTGCATCTAGAGCTTAAAATGATTACAAGGCCATTGCTTTGGCATGTTTTTTTGATGGTAATATGTGGGAAAAATAAAATTAACAAGGAAAAATATATCTGTTCATCACTTAAGATCCCTTCTAATCTTGGAGTATTGAACAAATCCTTACTCTTTCATGAGCACCTAGTAGATGTCACACTATGGTGCTCCTTGAGCCTCTTCTGTACTAATCACTTCTCTGTGTGTATTTGAATGAGTTATTATTTGTGTGTTTTGAAGATTTTTCGAAGGAGGCAAAAGAACTGTTTTATTTTAATGATATCCTTCCATAATAAATACATAGACTATAGAATGTCCTATAGGGGATGTTTCTGCTAGAGACGAAATATATTGTTTTCATTTTATTTCAGATGCTTCAGGCGTGCTCAGTCCAGCACTTACCAGTACCATATGCAGCATTTCCACCTCTCATTTCTAGTGACCCATTCCTTTTGCATCCTCCTCATATCTCCACACACCATCCTCCTCACTTACCTCCTCCAGGACAATTCGTTCCTTTCCAAGCACAGCAGTCCCGGTCGGTAAGTAATGCTTCTTACCCCACTCTCCATAGAATTGGTGGGGCTGGATGGGCAGACAGAAGGATTTTGTTTCAAGTCTGTAACTGCTTCATGTGAAGATGAAAGAACAATTTTATAGTTCAGGATTTCATTTCAGATTTCATTGTTGTCTGTGCTGTTTCTCCATAGGCTTTTATTTCTGTCAGAAAGATGGGTATTTGCTTTTCACCATCAGGTATTTCTTTCCCAGGAAGCAGAACAGAATCCAGAGGAGGTTGTGTAGTACAGTTGGGGTCTCAGAGAAAAGCTTAGCAGAGAAGGAAAAAGCACAGAATGTTGCTTTTGTTACATGCTTCTTTTGTATTACCTCTTTATAATTATTTTTAAGTGACTAGTGTTTTTCCTAGAACACTTTTTTTCCACACTCAGGAAAGTTATTGATGCGTTCTGCCTAAGCAGATGTGGTTTAGTGGTAGGGACTATGCAACCATGGGAATATGTGACCCTGTTTTAGATTTAGGGTGAAATTAGGTTTACAGTGTTATGGCCTATGATTCTCACTGTGGCTATCTGAGTACTTGTATCCATTTGTTTGCCTGACTAGAAGATGCAAGTATTTCAGTAACACAGAGGAAATAGCTTCATTCTTACAAACACTGCTGAGACTGCTTCACACCATGTCTCAAGTATGGATAGGGTTGTAATCACTTCGTTATGATGAAGGAAGCTGTTCTCCCACCATTGTAACAAAGCGGTTGTCAGTGGTAGTAGTCTTTATAAGGCTTTTATTTTAGTAAATGTTTGGACTCAGGTTTTAGCTTGAGTTACTCACTTAGGTTATTGACTAGGCTTGCATGTCAGTTTTCAGCTCTGGTGAAAAACTCGTTGTAGTGGTTTATGAATACCTTGTGTTTAAAGTTTGCTCTTCATGACAGGAAAACAGAATATTCCACTGGTTCCACAATATGGCTTTCTTAGCCGAATTTCTTGGAATCGTGGAATTCAGTGTCAGTAACAGAAAGGTGTTTTTGTGAAACGGTGATGATTCCTGGCTGTTTCTTGAGCACTTTTGGACCTGAGTGATGGACTAGAGTTGACTAGTTACAATACTGTACTGAAATCTCATGCTTTTGAAACCTCTGGACTGCATGTCTTGGTAGGACTGCTTGCTTGGCCCTCCTAGGAAAGCATCTGCTTGATTACTGAATATCATTAGCAGTTTAATCCACTGGAGCCACCATATTTCCTCTCCACCTTTCAGGTTTTTGGCACAATTCCAGTTCTTGTCTATGGTTGTTTATTTTTTTCTCACATAGTTTAACAGTGAGAGCAGCCTGGCAAGGAGAGCAAATATTTGTCCTGAAAAATGCAAGACACAGGAAATTACAGCCACCCCTATGTTTGCTAGATCACATAAATTCCTGGTCTGTAGGCATGGCTAGCTGGAAGAGGTGAATTTTGTATCAAATGTGTGGTGTTGTCTTTGATTTTTGGGTAGTGTTGATGACCTAGGAATTGCCCACAGAGTTACTATAAAATTGCCCACAGTAGCACAGAAGATATAGCTGGAATTGCAGTTCTTAATTGGGGAGAAATTACATCACCTTTATCGCAACAAAGGCTCTCTGATTTTTTTTTTTTTTTTTAGCCACTTCAAAGGATAGAAAATGACGTAGAATTGCTTGGAGAACATCTTCCTGTAGGAGGTTTTACATACCCTCCCTCAGCCCATCCACCACCGTTGCCTCCTTCAGCTCCTCTTCAGTTCTTAACCCACGATCCATTACACCAGGAGGTGTCATTCGGTGTAGTAAGTATTTCTGTGGTACATTCTCATTCATGATGCATTAACATTCTTGATCTTTATCCCATAGTACACTTTTTGCTGTCATAGTCCATTATAGGTATAGGTGCATACTGTGGTGTTTTCTTTAAGGTCATGTTAATAAAGTTTAGGGTGATTCAATGACACCAGCAAATTATTTCTGGTAACACTGTCTGCAGGGTGTAGCAGCATTTACTCAGAAAACATTCTATGTTGTCACAGAGTCCAAAACGTCTGCTGCAGAAATGATGAGTACAGTTTAGAAAAGCTGTTGTGACTTTTAACTAATTCTTCATCACATATTGAGTTTCCACAAACCAGGAAAGCTGGATTGCTTTAGAAACAGTTCTTTGCAAGCAGTTGTACATTGTGCTTCCATAATTTAGACCACACCATGTTACAGAGATAGCCATGTTATAAAGCTTGCTTTAAGGCAAGCTTCTGAGTATCTACAGGCAGTTCATCTGCAGCTGCACAAAAAAAAATAAAATTAAACCTTGTGCAGAATAAACTTTTGAGTTTTGTGCTTTGGTGGTGTCCAGTGGTGCTACTTCTAGGGTCTTTGTGTTGTACTTCAATCTGGAATTATATTAGTCCTGAGTTGGATGGGGGGGTTGTTGTTTTGTGTGGCTTGCCTTAAAAAAACCCCACAGCCCTCTCCTGCCTGTGTGATGCTTGAAGAAATAACTAGAAGTCAAGTGTAGGTTCAGAAATTTAGTTTGACTTGTGCATCAAGTTGACAGAGGTTTTAGAGGCATATTGTTATTTAAAATTTTAAATGAGCATTAAATTTTAGGCTGCAGAATATACAGACAGCTTCTCTTCAGTCTCCTTGAAGTCGCAGAACCTAGTCAAATATTTGCTGCAGTTTTTGTGAAGGTTCAAAGAAGTCTCCGCCATTTTAGAAAGTATTCATCTTATTGCTAATCTAAAGGTGTACAGATTTCCAATGAAGTTTTCAGTCACTATGAGTCTCACTGGAGACAGTGACACTTAGAAGCTTTTATAAACTGCTGCATTTTATTCAGTGTTCTTCTTAGATAAATTAGTGTAAGCACAAACATTTTGGCTGGAGTGAGGCTTTCTTGATTTTTTCCAAGTTCAGTTGTTAAAAGTAGATAAGGCATATAATGTCATTTTTTTTCAGATTGTAGCATTTGTCCTCTGATGCTTCAGCTCTGGGTTATTGTTGAATAGTAGAATAGTGATATATTATAAATAATCATACAGTCTTTTGTAAAGCAATCCTAAATCTTTATCAAGTTTTATTTATATTAAAATTATAATGGAACAGCTGCATTTTTTATTCTGTTTCATTCAGTGAACACAACAGTTTCTAATTATATTTTTTTGATAACAGAATTCACAAAATGGTAACATATTTGATGTGTCTAGTTTGAGACTTAGAGGAAAAAAGGCTCTGGCTCTTACGCATTGTTTATATTACTATGTTAATTTTATGTGACCGTGCACACCTATTAATAATGTTTCCATTGTAAAATTAGGGGGTTTTAGGTTAGTCATTGGTAGTATTGGGCTCTTGTTCTTTCAAATTTCAAACATGGAAGAAGTAAAACATGTTAGTAAAGTCTGAGTGTTCTTTGTTTCAAAAAAAGTCTCAAGGCCTTCAAATATTAATTCCGTAGAGGCACCTGAATTTCAGTTTTAGAAAATGCTGAAAGCCCTGATTTGTCCATGCTAAGAATGCAATGAGGCTTTAGGCTTGACTGTCTCTTTAGGAGTAGTTCAGCTGCAGAAATTGTACTGATTAAACTATCTATGTACACTTGAGAGGCCTCAACCATTTAACAAACATAAGCATATACCACTGCTTAAAAGTCTGAGGGTTTTTTAATTCTCTTTTTAAATACCTTTCATTTTTTTAAGGGCATCCTTACTCAACCACCTGTGTGCAACCTTACATAATAGCACCTGGACTTTTGTATTCACAAGAGAGTCAGCAGTTCATGTCCTGTTTCCCAGACTATCTTGCATATAGACTAAACACAAGAACTTGCAAGGATTTCCATTGTATATTACCACTTTTTCACATGGAATGGTATCAGTGTGTGCTGTAGATGGGAATAATTTCAAATTGAGGCCAAGTTTCTTTTGGATTTGAGCAGAGACTGGATTTTTTTAAATAATGATTTATTGAAAGTATATTTTCAATACTGAGATCTCCTTTTATTTCGTGATTAAGAGAAGAAAATGTTGAATCACAGACACACAGACTGGATGAGGTTGGAAGGGAAGAGAGGCCATCTGGTCCAAGCTGTCTGCTCAAGCAGGTCCACTTAAAGCTGGGTGCCCAGGACCATATCCAGTCAGCTTTTGAATATCTCCAGGAAGGGAGACTCCACCTCCTTGGGCAACCTGTGCCAGTGCTTAGTCACCTTCACAGTAAAGAAGTGTTTTCTGATGTTCAGAAAATGTCCTGTGTTTCAGGTGCTCACTACCTGTGGTCCTGCCACTGGGCAGCACTGGAAAGAGCCTGGGTCTGTCTGCGTGTTTATATATATTGATAACATACCCCTGAGCCTTCTCTTCTCCAGGCTGATCTGTCACAACTCTCTCAGCCTTTTCTCACGTGTGAGGTGCTCCAGTCCGGTCTTATTTGACCCTTTGAACTCTCTCCAGTATGCCCATGTCTGTCTTGTGCTGGGGAGCCCAGAACTGGACACAAGCTCCAGTTCCAGTTGAAGCTTATTTTCTTCTTTCTTGCAGCCTTATGCACCTTTCATGCCTCGAAGACTCACAGGGCGCAGCAGATACCGATCACAGCAGCCAATACCACCTCAGCCTTACCATTCGAGCCTATTACCTTATGTGCTGTAAGTGCAAAGTACATTTGCTTCCTTGTAGCCTATTAAGTCACGTGACTTTCAAATCTTGGCACTTTGTGGTTGGACTCTGTCAGAGACCAGGCATAGTTCACCTGTCCCAGAGGAAAACTTGTGTTTGTGTAAATTCTTCAGCCAAGTGGGATGAATCAATGGCATACTCCCTTGAGCAAGGAAAAATATAAGTGAAAAATTCTGTCCAATGTAGTTGTATAGGTATTTTGAGACACAATAGCCTCTTTTTTCTGAGCTCTTCATAAAATTTTCAACAAATTTTAAATCTTGATTCTACCATACTCTTAGAGAGGCGTGGTTACACTGTAGGATCAAGTCCTAGGAGTCTTCACTTGTGGGATAAATTGTTTGGTTTGGTTCTTAACTATAAAACATGAGGGTGGGAGCTGTGTGACGTATTTCTCTTCATTGGCTGAACTGCTGCTCTGTTACAGCTCTTAAATTTCTGTTCTGCTTCTGATTAGCTGTTTTTGGAAAAGATACAGTACTATTTAGGAATTATCTGTAGTGTGTTATGGTAGACTCACTCTGAGGGACTTTAGGTATATGGCATGAGATTTATTGGTCATTTGTGTTCTGTTTTGGAAATAAGTATGAATTTTTTTGGAGGACACTTAGAGAAATAACATTTAAAACCAGAATGTCAACTTATTATCAGTGTTAGCTCTCCATAGAATGTGGTAATCAAGAGATTGGTTTTTGTAATAAAGCTGAGCTTCGTTAAATGTACCAAGTGAGATATGCATGCCATGAAAAGAATTAGCACTCCCAGTATCAGAAGGTGGTAGAATTAGCCTTTTCCTTTGACTCTTTCACTTCAAATGTCTGTTCTTGACTTCAAACATAATGTTGTCACCATTATAACCATAATGTTGGTTTGAGAGGTATCAGTAAGGTAACTTAACCCTGCCAGATGTTTCTGTGCTTTCCTTCAGCAAGATGGTAAACTTCATACTTGTTTACTCTTGTGGTAGATCAGTGCTCCCAGTGCCACCTGCCGTTGGACCAGCTTTGAGCTTAGAGTTGGATGTGGAAGATGGAGAGGTGGAGAACTATGAGGTTGGTGTGCAAACTACAGCTACCTTGAAAGAACAGATGTTAGCTCTAGCAATAGATAAATTTTTATTATATTTTGCTTTTAATCCAGGTTTTGCCTTTCAAATAAATGTAGTGACTGAAGACAAAACTCAAACCCATCCTTTCTGATTTTTTTTGTAATACTGGATATTAGAAGTGCTTAGCTTGCTTTCTTGTCTATTTTTCTGTCCCAGAATCCACCTTTCCAGGCTAGTAATCATGAAATTGTTCAGCTTTAATATTCTACGTGCTACTCTCCTCCTTTTGAATTTTAGTTGATTTTAAGTGCCAAACAGAAGTGAAGCACTTTCAAAAAGAACAGAGCAAGTTACTGGGGTTTTTGTGTGTAACTTTCAGATAGTGTTAAAACAGAGTAGTGTTAATGTCACAGAGTTAAATAATCAAAATGCAGTGTTTATAAAAGTGCCTTACTGCCTTTTCCTCTTGGCCCTAAGGGAGGGTAAGGTAATTCACATCTAGAGATGTAGAACCTTCTTTAATATGCTAGGCAATTATGGGGCAGCTCCAGCTGTTGTCTTAGCTGGTTCTCAAGCTATTGGATTCCATTTGATTTCTCTTTAGTCAGTCATCAAGACTGACTTTTGTCTCTTTGCCTGTGCTCTCTTTAAATCTCTGTTATTGCACATTATCAATTTAATGATGAGCACCTCTGTAATGACATCTGGTGGTTCAGAAGATGCAATGTCTTCTGAGAATTCGGGCCCAGGTTTGACATTAAGAGATCTCTTTGTGATCAATGCCATTTGCAGCTTTCACAGAGTCTTTTAGTTTTAATGTGCTTTGGTTCTCTGTCACATTTATGGTGATGTTTTTCCTGGGTCCCTTGTGAGGAAGTGCAAGTTACGTACATGAGAGTGCAAATCATATACGTCAGATGATTTTAGTTGCTGTGCTTGCCTTATAGAAAACTAGAATGAAATTTAGCAAACAAAAAGCACTTAGTTTGATGGTGTGTAATTGTATTCCAGATTGAGGATAAATTCTCTTTATTTGAATTCAGCTAGTCCAAGACATGGAGTGAAAAATCAGAAAATGTCCAATTAAATTCTTGATTTCTCCCGCAAGACCAGACTCGCATATTCTTAGGAAGGAAGTTTGTTGACAATTTTTTCCCATGTGCCAGCACTTTTAATTTCATAGCAGGGTGAGGGGACCCCTCAAGCAGATTGTGTACTGAGCTGTGCATGCCACCACAGGACCAATTGGAAGTTAGGTCCTGGAGGGTTTTGATTCCCAAAGATAACATCTTACAAAATTAGAAAGGTGATGAAGTTCTGAAAGGGTTTCTATGGCACTTGTATTGGAGAACTAAGGTCCTAAACATTTCTTGATAGAAGGGTGTTTTGTGCTACCGGCTGGGGTAGTGAGGTGTGACAGCAGCCTCAGCTCTAGAGGAACCAGAGCCTGTTTGAGTGAGTTTTTAAATGTCCAGTTTCCATGTTTTGCAGGCACTGCTGAATTTGGCAGAACGCCTGGGAGAAGCTAAACCACGGGGATTAACAAAAGCAGACATTGAACAGCTTCCATCTTACAGGTTCAATCCGAACAATCGCCAGTCGGAGCAGACCTTGTAAGTATATTGGTTTCTTCCAAAGGTCCATAATTTAGGTGTCTTGATTTTCATTTCTTTACCTTACAGCCTCAACTAGGCCAGAAGGGCTTTAACAACAGTCATGTCAGTAAACTTTCTAATTTTTTTTCTTTCTTGGTTTGCTTTCCATATAAAATACTATCTATTCATACTTTAAAACCTCTTACCTAGTCTCACATCACTGAGCTATGTTTCAGTTTAGCTCCTCAGCATTTTAAAAAAAAAAATTTAAATAATGTGTTGTAGGTCTTGTTCAGCATATGGAACATAAAAATGACATTGTCAGCTCGGAATTTAGCCTGTGTTAAAATAGCTTCATGTGTTGAAGTTTCAAGTGCTCCCAGTAGAGTTTGGCCAGTGGTTTAAGAGTGCATCTTATTATTTTTAGACCCACTAACTTAACTTACTGGGTTTGTAAGATCTGCCCAATCAAGTGGAAAGGGCAGTATCAATATGAAGGTAGTTAAATGATTTAGTACCAAATGCTGTCTAATGTTTGAAGTTCAGAGTAAGGATTTTTCTCTGAGGTTTCAGTGACCTTCAGTGTGACTTAAAAGCATCAGTAGGGAGAACTTGATCGTTATCTCCACTATTCTATATTTTGGTAAACATCTGTTCTATTGTCTTGGTTGCATCTGTGAACTCCTGTGAGCAGGAACACATTGCACGGTTAAAAAAACCCCAACAACAAACCCACAGAACCCCAGAAAGTCAATTCTCAGTTTACATTGTCACACTACATCTTCAGTCAGAACACTGTAGCTGCTAAGGGAGTAAAATAGCTACCATATTGCAGTCATACCTGTAGGGTTTTGTACAGCATTATGTATTTGTTGTTCTTACATAGCAGATACATTTGAACTTCGCCTTTTTCAGATGTGTGGTTTGCATGTGTGATTTTGAGACAAGGCAGCTACTTAGAGTCTTACCCTGCAGCCACGAGTTCCATGCCAAATGTGTTGATAAATGGCTGAAGGTAAGACAAAAAAATTAATTCCTATCTTATAAGAAATGCATGATGTAGTTTTGGGGAAGAGGGTGGGGCTATTCTACTGTTCTACCTCATCTTGTTTCATGTTTCTGGTACTTAGGCTAGAAATGCCGTCAGAGTGGAAGCACTGCCTAAATAGGGTATTTTTGTAATAATTGATGAAATTTGTTTCTGTTTAATCTTTGCCACAAGGGAAAATGATTATGAAGATAATTATTTTCATTTACAGATCTTACTGTGTGTTCCATTTGCTTAAAACAATGACTGCGAATTTGAGTAATATGTTAAATTAAAAAGACTTAAAATAGTATAGGAAGTGTGATGTAGAGTTTTGTGATCATGGTGGCTTTAACTGGTTTTCATATCTTGCCTAGCCAGAATGAGTGCTAATACCTTCCTCCCCCACTTTGCTATTAATACTAGTTTCTGGAGCAAATAAAATGTGTTGTGTGTACATATATGTGTATGCATATATACAGGCGTGTAATGCATAAAATAGAAATTACAGTTTTACAAAATTATTGCATACCCGTCCGAGAGAATTTGAGCAAAAAAAGGCTCTAGAACTGGGACAACTCAGTAAGAGCACAGATTAAACAGCAGCAGTGCAGAAGGTGTAAAGAACAAAAAATACAAGTAAGCAGATAATGGACATTTCTACAGACTGCTTTTAGCTAGATCTCTAAGGTTCTGTTGATTCCCATCTTGCCTCAGCTTTTTTCAGTATTTTTCAGTATATTCAGCTTTAGTTTAATCTGTGTGTAGTCTGTTGTGTAGAACATTGGAAACTGGAGTGAGCCTGTGTTGATACAGTTCCTGGAGAATTACAGGTGATGTCTGTTGTTTTGGAAAAAGGAATTCAACCCCCTTGCCTTTATGGTGTCATAAAAGCAAGAAAACGAATATCTTAGGCATACACTAAAATATTCAGTGCAGGGAATGAAAAAATCAAGTGAATATTGACAGCATATTTTTTGGCTAACAAGATACTATGAGTAATGAGAAGGTTTTTAAAAGGTGGTATATAAAATTGCTCTTGGGCTACAGTATGTGTGGTAGTCAAAGTCTAAGGCTTCTACACAAATCTAAGGCCAGTGTAAATGTTTGTACCACAGTGCTCATAACTTTCAGCAGAACTGGTGTCCTTCAGTATCTGAATTCACATACATGTTCAAGAATCAGCAAGAGGAATCTAAACACCTAGTTGGTTGTTTGTCAGATTAAAAACCCACAGACACATTCCACATAATACTATCTATGTGAGATGCATGATGTGTTATTCACTAACCACAAATTGAGAGTACATTATATGTATTGAATTGGTGTTCTTCAGTGTCCCCCTGCTCTTCTCAAGGAATCTTAAGCACTACCTGTCAGGTTTTCTCATTGCATGAAACTTCATAAGTCAGTTGTGGTGCACGCTTAATACCCAAGGATACTATTCTTTCTGTTTTGTGAAATAAAATAAGGTTACTTGACACAGCCTGAGAGACAATGGATGCTGTAGGTCTGTACAGGTAATATACAGACTTTAAAGACAGGTATTTTCAGGGTATTAATGCAAAAAAATACACCTCTGATTCATAGAGCCCCTGATCTGCAGATTGCTGGAAGTTAGAAGAACATGTTGGAAGTATCATGCATGCTGGTCTTGTTCTTAATGCTCTTTCTTGACATCAGACTCAAGAGTGAGACAAGTATGCGGAGTTAAGCTCTTTCTGGGACTCAGTGTGGTACTTACATGGTCAGAGTTAGTGCTTGAGTGGTCATGAACTGGCAATAGAATTCCAAACTGCGAAGTGCAAAACAGTCTGTTTTCATAATCATAGATTACTATAGTAGTGATGAAATAACTTTGCTGATGTTCCTATCCCAACTGAGAAATTATGCATTTTCTAACAGATCTTCAGGTGTGGTGTTTTGTAAGCATTGTAAAAAGAGGTGTAAAATATACCTTCAAAACCTAAAGGTTTGCAGCTAAACCTGCCTGAAACTGCTTGGTTTGACATTGTGTATTCCAGAGCTGTGTGCAAAATAAGCTAGACAACGGTTAACCATCGTGGTGAAGGATTGCTCAGACAATATCTTTACACCTTGTGGGTTTAGTTATGCTGGTACAAAGATGGCATATGGAAATAAAGATTATTTTGCTTTGCAGGCTGTAACAAATTACCTGTAACACCAATCTCTGTCTAAACCTGGTTACAGTTAAGCAGCCAACATGTGGAAAGGAGGTTAACTCGAAGATACTTTGCTTTAGTTTTGCTTCTGTCCATTCCTTTAGGAATCTGACAACTGGTTTTATATGTTGGTCACATAATTATGTCCACATCCAGTTAATTCATGTCATCCAGCCAACATCATGTTGATAAATTCTGCAAGGGAAAGTGAAGATTGTAGCTCTCAGTACATCTAACATTTTTCCGCAAGGTAGAAAAATAAGAAAGTTACCTGTTTGTTGCTTTTTTCTACTGGTTTAATCTTGTCTCTTTGAAGAAAGTATTTGCTGTCTAGGAGTATTTCTAGAGCTAAGGAGTCAGGCTGGTTCTTTTAGGTTTCATCATGTTTTTAGTGAAAGATTTAAATAAAAAGTTAGTGGTAGTCTGATTATTTTAAAAAATACTCCGCTGTCTGTTGGTGATGGGGGGGGGAAGGTATCAGAAAGTTTTGTGGTCTGTATGCATGGAATATTGGATCTGCCTAGCTGTTATAATGCTATGTACAGTACCACCTTTTTAGGTAGTGTGAGCATGTGAAGGAAGTGTTCTTTAACAGTGCATTAGGTTGCTTAATTAATATTTCTCTGGTTAAGCAAGATCAAAGACTTGTGAGAGAAGATGTAATACAGTGGAGGAAACAACAGAATTAACAAGAGAGTTTATCCTTTTCACAGTATTGTCAACTCGTCCTATTTCACATTAATTCATTATTTGTTACTGTCCTAAATCCTTTAGTCAAATATGAATACATGAGATATCTGTTCTTCTAAGAAAGTAAGAGTTAGTCATCATTCCAAAGGAGAGCTTGACACCATGACCTGTCTTCACCCTGGGGGTACACAACCAGATTAAAAGGTCAACTTGCCTTTATATTTAATATTCTGATAGGAGATGCTCTTATATATCAAAAGACACATTTTACCTAAAGCTTAACTTGTTTCTGAGGGATGAACACCAAACTAGTGCAATGGTTTTTAGAGGATTCTAGTAGCCCTATAGTTTCATTATTCTAAATGTAGTTCACTTTAAATTTCTGTAAAATACCAGTAAATAAATAGATAAATTAGTTCATTGTGCAGGACTCTCATTCCAGTACAAAATACAAGTCTGCCTAAAAGAGTGGCAAGTTAGAAAGCCAATTTTATGTCCACATTACTCCTCTTTTGGCACCAAAGAGTCATGTTAAATGCCACGAAGAGTGAATTCGTTTCATGAAAGGCACAAGAATGCAACCAAACTTAAAACAGATGTTCATGTAGGATCTTGAAAAGCTGTGGTGTGGTGTCGGTGAGTATTGATTTTGTCCTGACACGGTAGATTTATTTCTGCAATTCCTATCAGGAAATTACTCCCACTGAAATGCTGTTCTGTGCTACAAATTGGAGTTACTTCAGTATTGATCTAAGTGACTAGCTCTTAATTCATTAATCCACTGAATTTTGAAGAACATTCCTTTTTATTTTAAAAATGGTTAGCCAAATTGTATCTTAAATCATACATGTACAAAGAAGTTGACCAAGTAATGACATTGTCCTCAAGTATATTTCAAAACTGAAAAAGAAAGATTTTTACTCAATTGTCCTATCAATGCTTTACGAAAACTATAAAGCAATAATAATTATGAACTGTGGTAACAGTAGTAATTGACAGAAAAAATACAGCCTCATTTTCACTTGCATTACTAAATGATGTGTTTTGGTAACAACATATTACTTTCATTAGATTTAGTGATTATTTACATTTGAAATTTGTGACAGTGGGCTCTGAACTCTGGCCTACAGAGCTGCACTTCTTGATGCTCTTCACTTGATGCTCTTCACTTGTATTTTCATTGAAAAATTTGGCTTACTGTACAGAAACTTGGGAGCTGGAAGTGGTTGGTCTTGCAATTTTGGTAACTATAAAATCCAGAATTTGGGGCAAGGAAGAGTTCTTTTCACTCTGCCCTTTGCAAAGGCAATGTTTAGTCATAGATGTTACATGTTTGTTTGGGGATTTTCCTCATCAGTTGCTAAAATGAAATTAGCTCTTATTTGAAAAAGGCAATGAAGAGGCAGAAATACTTTTTTACTAGCTTAAGGAATGTTACTTTTCATCCATTTATTTTTTTAAGGAAGCTGTAATAGTAAATTAGTCACAGGACCTATTTTCAGTGCAGGTATTACTGAAGGGCTAAAACACACCTGCTGGTGTGTCTTAGTTGAATACCTGTTTAGTCAGTCAGGTCATCTTCTCTCTCTTTTTCGAAAGTTTTTTGGTTTCCCTTTGCTAAAACCCCTTTCATTTTTCCCTGGTTTGCTTTCAGCTTTGACCAAGTCTATATGATGTTTTTCTGTGGCAATAGCTGAATAAGCAAAGCAGGATGTGATCCCTAATTAGTAGAACATGTGGTGACATGACATCCTCACACAGGATGTTTATCTGCAGCCCAAGGTGGCTAGTCTTGTTCTGTCCCTGCAGTACACAGCAGAGCTGCATCCATCTGATCACAACAGACTATAGCTGTGAATCTGCTTTAATAAAGCCACTGTCACTTAGGCAGAGCATAGTTTGTTTTGATTTATCTTTAAAGATATAAGGCACAGTTATTTTCTTGTAAATGTGATTTTGAATTGCCTAACTTAACCACGCCACACCAACATAAACTAAAAAGGGCATAAGCACAGTTTATCTTCTCTCGTTTTGAGTACTCTTGAATTGCTCTTCAGCGGTCACAGATGTCAGTGTCACACACACATTACCTGAACTATGCCTTGGTCAGTCTATTAAACCCTCCTTTGTTTCTGGTTTTACAGGCAAACCGCACCTGCCCGATCTGTAGAGCTGATGCTTCGGAAGTACATCGTGATTCAGAATGACCAATCTTAAGAGCACAAATCTGGTTGGGGTATTTCTGGTCACATGTATACATGAACCGTCATGTGGCTTCCAGCCTACCCTTTACACAAAAGGGTCAGTGGACCTTACTTTGCACTGTGTGACTTAATCAACTATAAAGCTTATAACTAGTCTTCACAGTTATGGGATTGTTATACTAACAGTGTGATTGGAACTCCAAAGATTTTTTTTCTTTTTGAGCTTAATTTTGTGTGTGCACTAACATTCCCTGGGTTTTGTGTGATCATTCCGAGTATTGCTGCGAGATTACTGTGGATGTGATCTTTAAGCATGTGCTTTGTGTTACAGAAAAGAAAAAAATGTGGTAGCTCCAACCAATATAGCAATCTACCTTATACAGAGCCTTCAGATACTGTGAGTGGGGATGAGTGGTGAATGGGGATGAGTGAGTGGTCTGAGTGTGTTAGGCTGTGAGAGGAGGTGCAAGGGGTGCTTTTGACTGAGCGTGTATGTGTGTGAGAACCTATATACCAGCATGTACTGAGGATGTATGCGTGTAGTAATAATAATGCTGCAATGTATAATCTTTTGTTTTATTTAAGCAGTACTAGTACTGTACACTGGTTCCTTTCCTTGTGTTTGCAATTGCACACTGAATGCAAAGGGTGCAGCAATTACAAACATTTAGTTTTTCCTCCCTGATGTACTTACAGGTGTAAAGACCTTTCTACCTACCATTCAAATGGCTGTTATGCTTCCCCTTTGTTGGAGGCTTTAACTGTGCTCTACTAAAGAATGTTGATTGTTCTTACATGAGTGACTTGGGGGTTTTATTACACGTTACAAAGTTCAGATTTTTAAACGTCTGGTTTACAAGTTATTTTGTTAATGTAGAGTTGCAATATTGCATTTAGCAATATTAATATTTTGAATTGCTAATACATATTGATATCAATGTTTTTCTGTTTTTCTTTAGCTTCTAAGCATTGGCTTTAGTCACGTGGTTTTTTGTCATCTACAAGGGAGTTTGTATGCAACTAAAATAACTTGTAAAAGGTTAAATGCAATTTTTAGGGTTTTCTCAAAGAAGGAGAACTTAATTTTTTTTTTTTTGTTGTATCACAAGGTTTTGGTTGTTAACTGCAGAATTCATTTGCCCTGATGCTGCTTCTTGCCCTTCTTTATTTCATTATGAGTGTGATGGGAAGAAGGAACTCGCTCAGTTTTGCAGTTGAGTTTCCAGAGTGCTCCAATATAGGAGAAATTGGAACATCTTCCAGAACGGTGCTGTGAAATAGGAGGGGATAACCTGTATTCAAGTGCTCTGAATAATATTTTATTTGGGCTATTGAAAAAACCAGTTTGCTTTATAATGTTCAGACTGTTAACATCGCTGATGTGTTTCAGCAAAATACTTAGTTCTGCATATACCACAGTTGTTAAAAGGATGCACTTTTTGCCTTGAAATTCTGGTAAATTCAGTATCATTACTTCAGTTGCAGCAGCACAAGTGGCACAACTACCAGTATTGCTAAAACTTGCTGCCAGTCTCAGCTTTAAGTTTGTTCTTTATCACTTCTGATGCTTTTGTATGCTGCTATGTGTTAGTATCAGTTATAATTTCAAACAGTGTTAGATGTTCTGTGCTGATTTTCCTCTTTGAAGTTTTTACAAACAGTTCTTGGTGCAGCTAAATAAAAGCACAATCTTGCCCTCTTTCAGATGCTTTTCCCTGTGTTTAGTTAGGCAGGTAGTTCTCAAAAACAGTGAAGCTTTTCATACCTATCCTTATCTAGGAACACTAAATAAATAAAAATGCTGTTACATCAACTTCAACATAGTAGAATTTCTCCTCTCTTCCAGAGGAGGTAAAGAAGGCTTTTCACAGTAGAACCTAGCAGGTTAAATTACATGTTATAAAGTTTATTTTTTTAACAAATCACGCTGTTTAAGAAGCATATGCCACGTATGTCTTATAAAACCTAGGCTCTTTTATATAACTGCAAAAGGAAAAAATTCCATGTGTACAGATCTAAACATGACTAACACTACTGTGCTTAGTATTCAGTTCAAAGCATGGAAAGAGGGTATTTTCCCTCAACTAGATACAGGTGAACAACACATTCTGCTGAAGCCAAGGAAAAGTAGTTCTCTTTCTGGAACTGAAGAAATCTTGATGTGTAACATTCCCTTTATTCCCCCCAGTACAATTCTGGGAGGCAGTGGGAGATCTAGGAGACAGGGCCTGAGTTAGTAAAATTGCGAAATTAATTGTTGCACTCCTACGGTTCATCTGTTCTGGAATGGTTCTTTCATTTGCATGGGACTCCTGCAGATGTATGTTGACTTGTGTCCCATGATTAGTGAGTACAAACAACACATGGATATGTCCTGAATCAGCTCAGACAAGCCACAGCCACGTCCTCACTGTGGTGGCTGGTGAGGGAAGGGGATTCACATTCAGCTGTTAACTGCCATGTGTTATGCACAGCCTGCTGTGGTGCCTGACAGCAGCTGGGTTCAGCCACAGTTCTTATGTTCATTGCTGTTCTGCTGTTAGCTAACTCTTTCTTCTCCAAAAAAAAAAAGGCAAACAGGTTGGTTTTTTTTGTTTATCATATTGGCACTTCTGAGTTTTTTTTGCATAAACTGTCAATTTAATTTGACGTTATAGTGGATATCAAGGCCTACAGGTAATTCCAGTGTCTCATTTTGTGGCTTGACAAAAAAAACCCACAAAGCCATGTGTTGTATGTTGTTTTGTACAGGCTCTTGAATGTGACTTCACAGCTGTTAATACTTGGGATGAGACTTACCAGCTGTTTTAAGTGTGGAAAACACATTTTGAAGTTGTCTTTGGGACTTTGTAAGAGCTGTGGTTTTTTCCTTTGGTCCATTGTTACCTCATTTTGCTATTTGCTTCAGATTTGCTAATTATTATGAAAGCTTATGGGTTTTGTTGGAATCAAGTTGTTTTTTGTCAAGTGTTTTCTTCAAATCATATGCTGTTATATCATTTAACATGTAGTTTGAAATGTGTTATAAATACCTGTAACCAAATTATTTGAAGGCTTGATAAATTTTTAACAAAATTTGTACATTTTTTATGAGAGTTACTAGTAATGCTTTACAAGGTAGTGCAACAAATTTTTATTTTTAATCCCTGTTCCCAATTTTGGAGTTGAGAGAGTTGTTCAGTAATAAACGTATGTTGTACACTTGCATGATTTTGTCCTGTTCTTTCTCTTGGGGGTGTACTGTTTTCTTTTGTTACTGTGCATATTTCTGTGCATGATCACATGACTTGAGATATTTTTGGTAACAGCTGCTTGTGTTGTAGGGGAAAGTTTTGCCACCTTAACTGTAGCATGCAACAGATTGATCATTATTTTTTTTTAATCTATATTGAGACAACATAGGAAACTGAAATGAAATGCTGTGTTGTCTTATTTTTGAAAGTGTGATAAAACTCTTAATTCGTAGTACTCAAAGCCTCACCTGAAAGGTCAGCTTTCTAAAGATGTTATTTACTTAGTCAAAAGAAAATGTGCAAGGGTGGAGGTGCTCCTTACACATACTATTCACACTGTGTATCAGCTGAAGATGTGTTACACTTTTGCAGTACCCTAACAGTGGTAAGAAATGAAGGATAAAACTGAATTATAATGAGTTTGGTTAGCCAGGCCACACAAGAAGCTGGTGGTGAAACAAAACACCCAACCCAAGAGTTGTATGGTTTTGTTTTTAATGAGGTAATGTGAACTAAGTTGACAGATGTAATTGTTTAAGAGGTTTTCAGTTACACAGGGCATTTAATAGCTGCATCAATAGCAGGTGTTCTTTGTACTCAGACATATTTGAGAATCCTTTTGCAAAGATTCACACACGTATCTTTTGGTTTTATAATCCTGGATAACAGGTTGCCTTCTTTCATGCAGCAGATGTTAATAATTAACTACACTGTTGGAAGTGATCAGTGCTGCCAGTAGAACTTGCGCAGCTAAATTACTGGGCTGTCCAGCTTCAGCAGTGCCAGGGAAACTTAGAAGTACTAGTGCCTGGCTTAGAGCCTGTACCAGCAAGCAAAGCCCTGAGACCAGAGCAGGCCTCCCTGGTAAAAATCATAGAATAGCTCAAATTGGAAGTGACCCATAAGGATCACTGATTCCAAATCCCTGCTCCTTGCAGGACTACCTGAAAATAAATCATGTAACTTTGTCTAGATATAAAATTGTCTAGGCATTCCTTGACCTCTGCCAGGCTCAGTGCTATAACCATTTTGCTGGGGAAGCCGGTTCCAGTGATTGACTGCACTCAGTGTGGCCATTTCCAATACCTAACCTAAACCTCCCCTGGCCCAGCTTCATGTCATCGCCTTGGGTCCTGTGAGTAGTCACCAGAAAGGAGATCAGCATGTCCTCTGCCTGTCCTGAGGAAATGCCCCCTCAGCTTCCTTCTCCCACAGAAGAGCTGGGCTGAACAAACCAAGTAACCTGAGCCACTCTCAGTAAGTCTTGCCCTTGAGGCCTTTCACCATCTTGGTCACCCTCCTCTGGACACACTCTGAAATCTTTATATCCTTACATTGAGGTGCCCAAAACTCTGTACAGCACTCAAGGTGAGGCTGCACCAGCACAGAGCAGAGTGGGACCAACACCTCCCTTGACTGGTTGGTGATGCTGTGCCTGATGTGCCTCAGGACATGGTTGACTCCTGGTTGCCAGGGTTCACTGTTGGCTCATATTCAACTTGAAATTGACCCAAACACCCAAATCTCTTTCAGTGGGGCTGCTCTTCAGCCTCTCATCCCCGAGTTTGTACATATAACCATCATTACCTTGTCCCAGGTGGCAAATCTGGCTCTTGATCTTCTTAAATTACATCTTAAATTACATATGGCTGTTGATCACCCACCTCTCTAGTCTAGCCAGATAATTTCTGGAATGTGTCTACACTGTGGGAGCTACTCCTAATTTAGTATCATTGGCAAACTTACTTAATGTGCATTCAACTTCTTTATCCAGATCATTTCATAGAATCACTGAACCACTAAGGTTCAAATAGACCTCTGAGATAACAAAGTCCAACCTTCGATTGAACACTGCCATGTCAACTAAACTACAAGCACTGAGTGCCATGTTGTGTGCTTTTCTGAACTCCTCCAGGGATGGTGACTCCACCACCTCCCTGGGCAACGTATTCCAGTACCTGACAAACATGCTTCAGCACCTCAATGTCTTTCTTGTAGTGAGTAGCCCAGAACTGGACACAGTATTCAAGGTGTGGCCTCACCAGTGCTGAGTACAGGGGCACAATCACTGCTCTGGTCCTGCTGGCCACAGTATTTTTGATACCAGTC